GCTGAGTCGAACCAAGCGCTCCAACTTTTGGTGCTTGGATTTGGCGGCATCCTTGCATTTCCAGAAATGTGCCTTCGCAAGAAATTGAGAAACCTGCTCTTTCTTCCACTTGGAACGAAAAAAAGATTTCTAAAACACTTCAGAAATTCGTTTAGTTCGGTGAAATGTTTCTTGAAATCGGAGGCCACAAGATTGACAATGTGACTGTTGCAGGTGATGTGGACAGAAAGGGGAAATAAACATGACAGGGTCTCATTGAATGCTTTCTTCATATATGCAACATTGTCGGAATTGAAGACTCGAACATTGTCAAATTCTATGTCGTACTCATTGACTGTTCTAACAATTGCCTGGGATACCGTTTTGTTGTTCGTCTCACTTAAGAACTGAGTATCAAGCAGGTATGCAACACAATTGCCTTCTGGAGAAAGTTCGTCAAAGTCAAGAATAACAGCCATGACATCTAAAACGTATCTGCCTTCATCGTCACTAAGTTCATCCACAATCAACGCTACATTTTTACCTTTGAAATGCTTTTTGAGCTCTGCCTTTTCCACTTCATATACGTCAAATAGATAGTAGTCACGAAGCTGAGAGCATTTTGGAATCGCACCACCATTACTAACTTTAGACTGGAGAAAATTTCTCAACTCTTTGTTATCTGACTTATGCAAAGGGATATTGGCTGCACAGCATGCTTTTATCCAGGCTTGGCAGATCTTCACTTTTTCCATGTGCGGAGTTGTCTTGCACTCAAAGGAAGTTTTTAGGGTTTGTTGTTTCCCCAAAGAATTTTGACTGTGTACTTTCCGAATGTGTGAGGCAGATTCCAAATGCTTGTCGATCTTGTGTTTTCTTAAATGATCAATGACTATATTGCATGTTGAACAGAATAACAGGCCATCGTCCGCATGCAGTGTTCCCTTTGGATATTTTCTCACCCTGTCTGCTGCCGTTACGTTTACAGCTGTATGGTTGTCTTTTTTTGCCAAGAACTTTTCCATATTTTGGCCGGTGACAGCCACGAAGTCGCCCTGCGATGTCGCTCTACGATGTCGCCGATCACTTAGACATAAATGACCGGCATGGCAGCCGGTCAAGGTTTTCAAATGACTATTAAATGACCAGCAGTCTGATATTTTTGATATTTTTGATCATATGTCGATAAAGAAGCGCTCTTCGCTTCACTTTAAAGGAATAGATATCGAATACACCACAAGAAACAAAGAACAACATGTACAGCTAAAATCGATCGTAAACCAGTGACCTTCGGAAGTCTTCAATCACGTGATGCAAATTTCCCGCCACAAGCAAGCGTCACGCTTACCGGAAATCTCGAGGAAATCGCCATGGTGTCACGAATACCCGACTATTGACATCTATTAAAGCTCTTCAAGATCGCTTGACACTTCTTAATCGACATATAATAGTTCGGATATGATCGGTTCTTTTGTCAAAAATGTCAGACTGCTGATCATTTAGTGTTTTGAAAACCTTGATCGGTAGTCGATCTCAAAAAGATTCTAAGTGTCATAAACCATGGTTTTGTATTCTGAGCCCAGCGTAAACCAAGCATTATACTTGAGATCTACAAAGCTCTTCAGGATCGCTTGGCGCTTCTTAATCGACATATGATAGTTTAGATATGATTGGTTAATTGCATTCTTCAGATTTATCAAAAATGTTGGAATGCTGGTCATTTGAAAACCTTGACCGCTGCCAGTCATTTAGCCACAGCGTTTTGACAAACAAGTGAACATGTCGAGATCGATAGAAAATTTATTTTAATTTCGAAGTAGAGCCATGTGGCGCAATTTATCATATACCGGTAAACAACTCTGATTTATTATTTGTAAAACAATTGCCACAAATAGGATAAGAAGAACCCCAGTATCCCACGGAGCGCTGCATGACGACACAATACTCGATGTGTACGTGACTAGTGCCCAGGACAGCGCGAGCTATGGAAAGCGCCTTGTTGTTTTTATAAGCGCCCGAGCTGTTCGAGGAAAAAGCTATGGATTTTTCGTTTGTTTTGGAAGGTAAATAGCCTAAAAGTTTTCTAGAAATCTTGGAAATCAATAGGAATACCTGATTTAATTTAAATTTTCAGGAAATTTTTCAGTATTGTGCGGGATTTTGCCGATTGTGCGTGATTGTGCGGGTTAGACCGAATTGTGCGGTCCCGCACCCGCGCACCCTGTCAGAAGGCCTGTTTAGGTTTTGTAAATCCATTAAAATATGACATAAAAAAGTAGGTTATTATAGCATGACTAAATGATCCTTAACATTGGCATTTGTTGTCACCCGAATTTCAAACATCTTTCGAAGCAATCCTCAGGCAACTGCCAAAAGAATATAGAAATGATATAGGAAAAAAAAAAAAACTGATAATTTGTGGCCCATGGTGCATCACATGGGTAATATTACCAAAGTCACAATGAATTTGCCACAAAATGTAATCATGAAACTACATGTAGGACAGCTTTCAATATCTGGAATTTTTTATGTCAACATGATGATATCAATTCTTGATCTCATTTTTGAAGTTTCTATTATGAAATTAGGTCAAGATTGGTGATATAAAACAAAGCAATGCATTTCCTAGTAAAAATATATTTCCAGATCTGATCACTTAAGGAATACTGACAAGAATACTAACAAAGAAATTAGTTTTGCAATATGGGGAATGGACTTTAGAAGAGATACAATTATGATGGGTAAAATACTATGAAACCAAACCGGATAGCAAGATATTTAAATTTGACAACAGGTTTTCACATTACCAGAATAATTCTTTAAAAGCTAGCAGAATATTACATTATTTTATATTATAATCATGAGAGCTACAATAAGCCACTTTCCAAGAATCTATGGCCCACTTTGGAAACAAAATCATTTGCCTTAGTATGAACAGAAAATGCTTTCCAGCTTCTATTCACTGCTGTAAGTTATCCAGCTTTTATTCACTGCTGTAAGTTTTCGAGCTTCGATTCACTGCTGTAAAGTTTCCAGCTTCTATTCACTGCTGTAAGTTTTCCAGCTTCTATTCACTGCTGTAAAGTTTCCAGCTTCTATTCACTGCTGTAAGTTTTCCAGCTTTCTAGCACTGTGATCAGTATTCCAGCAGGGGTTAATTGGGTTGTCTAGCATACAATTATACTGCCACAGGAAATTTTAAATAATAGTGGTGGAAATGTTTAAAAGGTTTATGTAAACTAGTAGGTGAAGCTTCATATGGAAAGATTATCCCCCGAATTGAATAATATTCATTAGTATATACACACTCAGTGATCTTGGTGATTTAAGCAATCTGAATGGTTCGCAATCAAGGACTATTCAACAATTTTCATCTCCTAGCGAGTGGATAATGTGTGAGCTCAGTGTTTTTTTTTGCAATTTTTTTATAGAATGACCTTCTAAAACTCGACAAAATCCTAGGGCTACATTTTTAAAAGCACGAAAAGACTTTGAAGGATTCGAAATGGCATTTTTCCATTCACTATGGCTGAGTTTTGTGCTCGATGGATTGTTTACTACTCCCGTTTATTCGCGCACAAGAGCCCATTTCGTGAGCTCAGTGTTCCCTAACAAGAAAAATTTGGCCCAAAAATTGAATTTTACAGCCATATTTTGAACGGACATATTCGCAGAAATGTGACTGTGTACGGGAAAACGTACCTTAACGCTTATCCGTTAAATGCTCTCTAACGGACGGATAGCTAACGGATTGTTAACGGCCTTCACAGCATTCTAACGTTTTGTCCTAACGTTCTAACGGTTATCTAGTTGTGCCTAACGGATGATCAAAACGTTCTAACGCTTTCTCCTAACGGTCTAACGGCCAACTAAGTATGTCTAACGGATGAGGAAAACGTTCTAACGGTTACGCAGTTTGTTCTAACGGATGACTGGAGCCGTTTAATGGTTGTCTAACGCTCTACATCTAGGGACTTTTAACGTTTGTCGAATGGTTTACATCTAAGGACTTTTAACAAACGAATAGCGTAACAGTTACTTTCAGTCCGATGTTATAAACACATGATCGTGCAAAACCATTACTAGTCTTACACTCGCGAATAAAAAAAAAACGAGTCAAAGTGCCGATTTCATCAGTCGTCAATGAGACAAGCATTAAAAAAATTATTTCCACGGTGAGCATTAATCGAGAGCGTATCTCAGGGATATGAACTTTCTCTTTTCATCGAGACGGAGAAACTCAGAATTTGAGTCCTTTATTATCGTGTGAGAAGCAAACCTAACGTCGCTAAACCTGTGTGTAAACAATTTTAATCGCCAGTTGTGGTGAACATTTTTTATTGTTTTACTCAAATGGATTTGTCGCTTGTACTTATTTTTACACCATGACTCTGTCAAGAGTTTTTCTAAAGTAACTGCTTTACGTGGGCCAGCTGTGGATTCGCGAAAGATTATGCTTTCTATCTTGACCGAGCATGCGAAAAGCGCTGCCTTTTGAAGTCACCAAGTCAGTCTCGAAGGGACGACGTGTTGGCGCTGGTTTCACTAGATAAAGTTGTTTTCGTCACATGCATGTAGTTTAAAATTAGTTTCGTCTGATTCAGAGTTAGACAAAAGTCTATCAAAATATTCATCAACCTTCATCTCACATCTTGGAAAATGTAAACAACTTTATGCAAATTTTTGAACCCACACTTTGTGAATTGAAACCAAATAATATTATTCTACTTCAGTTCGAACGACAAAGACCACTTAATTATTTTAATGATTGCAAATAGCAATTAAAGGGAACGGAAGAAGGTTACTGGTCATTTGGGATCCCACCTCGCAGGTCGTAGCACTTTATCAATAAATTATAACTACGAGTGAAGTCCTTCAAGTTTCAAAAATGATCTACTAATTTTCTTAAAATACATTCTTATTGACTTACAAACATTGCCCCTAAACTGAGAAAAACAAGAACTACTGGAAGTACTCTAAGAACTGAAATGCTTACAACAGGTGCTTTCACTTATTCGTTACTATGCCCACGTGGTATTTGCGTACTTAATGGCGCGACACGTAGCATTTATCTTAGTTTTTATGAATGCCCACAGTTTATCCTTTTCCGTCGCAGATTCTGCAGGAAACTTGCTAAAAACTAAAACTTTTAATGAATTTAACTTATTGCTGTCCAGGCATTGTTTGCCGTGCGAACCATTGGTGTTACTGTTCATGATTTCTTCCTTCGTGAAGAAGAAGGGAAGAAGGTTTACTGCGCATCTGTGCTTGTTTGCTTCTTTTTGGAGTGCTTCCCGAACCCGCTGTACTTTCCTCGGGGTTACACATGTCCGAATAACGTCTTCTGCAACTGGGATTTCAACGGCGCTGTCTACGGCACTGTTGGAACTGACGGTCCTGGTGTAGGATCAGCAGGAGTTTCCATTGTAGAAACAGCAGAAGTTTCCAGTGTGGGAGCAGCAGAAGTTTCCAGTGTAGAAGCAGCAGGAGCAGCAGGAGCCGGCGAATGTAGTGAAAGGCTAGTGTCGACTTCGACGCTCAAGCTTTCGAAAGTGTCTATGTCAATCGTCGACAGGTCATGAAGAGGCGGAACACTCGCAGATAAACTGACTGACTTATCGTGTTAAAATAAAGGCTTTGTATTCTATTCTGTTCTAAGTCTGTAATCAACATTTGATACATGTACGCTGTGAAAAGTGTCAAGTGTGCAATAAACCTCTTACAAGCAAGAAACCATGATAACAGAAATGGAACTCCAATTTTTATTATAAATACGACTAAAAACCTATTTACATGTCTTCGTGCGTATGCAAAGAAATATTAAATCTATTAATACAACAAACACTAATTCGTAAAATCGTTCAAATACAACATTCAATGAATAATCCATTTCCTAACTCAAACCTTTTTTACTGCGAGACATGTAAATAATGCAAACAGGAAGATAAAGAAATCTAACTGTTCTGTTGTTTTCCTGCATGAGCTGTTGTGACTTAACTTCATGGAGCCGGAGCTACGATATCTTCCGTTCCGGGTTTACGAAACTGTCTGATTTCACGGAAAAGATAGTTCCTGTGTTCCTCGGTCAGTCCATCTGGATTGACTATGTCAGGAAGGATAGAAGGTGGCGGAAGAATAGCATTATTCTTCAACAACATAAACAACTGTTCTGGNAAGGTGGCGGAAGAATAGCATTATTCTTCAACAACATAAACAACTGTTCTGGACTAGAAACAAATTCTTTGTAGAAGACCTTGCCAGGGTTTTCGTTTGAAAACCGAAAATGATGAAACTTTTTAATGTTCGGCAACTTTTTGAAGTACTGCCCGAGAAACAAACTCCCATCGTACACAGGAACAATTACTCGCCCGTCGTGCGTGCCAACAAGTTGTGCTTTGTTTAGTCCACTAGTGCTGGAAGTCTCTACGAGTCGCGCAAATTCGTAGAGCGACAAAACATATGTGACTTTAAAGGCTTTCTTTATCAATCCGAAAGAACGGTCTGGAGCAAACGTGGTGTGACCAGCAATGAGGAAAGAGTATGTGATCGAATGATGCAGTTTCATTTAAGTTCTCCACGCGAAGTACCGTAAAAAGTAATTGTTTTTATTTTGACCCGAGCAGTCATCAGCGTTAAGTTGTGCGTCTGTCTCTCCTAATCCATGGTGCTCAAAATAGTAGTGGACGTAACTGATTGTTGTGTTTGCTCCTTTCCCAGCAGAAGTGGCCTCATCTTTGAGGAAATTGACTTGTCTTGGTAGGCCCTTGCACATAACTCCAAATATCCCACACTTCCGAGGAGTCTTGAAGTAGATTGGCCCAGGTTGCATGGGATTGCTGGGGATGTGGACCTGCTGGGCGTAATCAAAGGAATAGTGCACCGTGACGTTTAAAGAGCAGGCTTCGCGGCTTTCACGGTCAAGTACTGTTTCGGTGTCAATCGGCCCAAGTGCATTCTCGGAGTTGATACATGAGTTCCTATAGTATTCTCTTTCAGACTGGGCACAGTTTAGATGATCCTGATGGGCTTTTACGCATTCTGACTTTTCTCTGTCAGAGAGGTTTGCAGCTCTTTGAAGTTTGTTTGTATTTTGCTGACAGGTAAAACAGAGATCAGTTGCTGGTCAGCTGCAAGAATTTCCTGTAGCTCACTGCTCGTACATCCGAAGCTATGCAAGCTGCTTCGTAGACAGGCCAAACGCCGATCTTTGATTCGGATGATGACAGGACTTTGATGTCATCACTTTTGAAGCCAGGTATTCTTCCTGGGAGGGAGATCGCGTTTTCCTCGACGTAGTTGGTCAGGATTGTGCGGACTCCTTCTACCGTAGCCTGAGACAGTGTGTTTTCGGGTAATCGTTTAATGTTACCGTGAATTCTGGGACAAATACTGTAAGTCTGATAGTGTTCCTTCAGCCGTCGAAATCGTGAATCAGTCAGTCCATATAAGTGAAGAAACATCTCCTTGCAGATTGGTAGAGACTGAAAATAAAAGGTGCATCAAGGACTCCTTTTTCTTTTGATACCAGTGGACTCACGGTGAATGAAAGCCTGAATGCTTGCGAGGACCACCAAATCAAGTTCGTCATTTGACAGTTCCAAACAATTATTCAGGTTGAAAAGTACGACAGTTTCCGTAAACTGTCCAGAACATGGACTGCCTTTTGCACCAAGAGCACAACCACAACCATCCTTTAAATTTTCTTAACTTTTTCGAAGGCTTTTTCGTTTTCCATTTCAGCTAGATCTGTCTCGGCCATAGCGTTTACTTAACTGTTTTAGTAATGCTGGAAAGCAAAGTTTTGTCCTTCGTCACAACAGTTTGCCGTCGTCATAGCAATTGCCACAAATTAGCATTTTGACAACCATTGTTGCGTGACGAAACACGAGCACAAGTTCTTGACATGACTTTGTGATCAGTGTTTACTTTGCAGACCTTTTATTCATCGCAATGGCCATTTTGGTCGAGCTTTCCCTGTGTTTGTTTTATCCGTTTATGGCATTTATATGATATTTTTAACTTTCCTTTCGTCAGAAATTACAGTACAAAATACAAGCTCTCGAAACAACCGGACTTTGCCGAATTATTAAACAGTTTATATAATGTCGATCGTGGTTATGATTTTACTTGTCGGCAAACGTGGTTTGTTTTGGATCGTATATAATAATATTACAGAGTGACTGTCTAACACAGGATCTAAATACTCGTTATTTGACATAGCTTTGTTGGATCTTGTTTACTGTGGGTAATGTCGACCGAGATATCGGTCGACATAGCGGTCGATATAGCGGTCGACAGTCGGTCGATAGTCGGTCGACAGTCGGTCGACAGTCGGTCGATAGTCGGTCGACAGTCGGTCGATAGTCGGTCGATAGTCGGTCGATCGTCGGTCGATGGTCGGTCGATGGTCGGTCGACAGTTGGTCGATAGTCGGTCGACAGTGAGATAGACTATCGACCGAGTATCGGTCGATATTTCGACGACGCACCTCGACTTGCTATCGGTCATATGTCGGTGATATATCGGTCAACTGTCGGTGGTATATCAGTCAACTGTCGGTGGTATATCGGTGAACTGTCGGTGGTATATCGGTCAACTGTCGGTGGTATATCGGTTGACTGTCGTTCGAATATCAGTCGTGTGTTAATTTATCAGGTGAGTCCAATGGCTTTTTTTTTAAGCAAAGACGTCATTAATTACTGTTCATGACATGCTTTAAGAGCGAGGAATACACATCTTTTATTATCGGGCTTTGACCTGCTTCATCACGCCAAGTTCTCGCTTGTGCGGAGACCACAAATTAAACTTATATATTTCTGTATTGAAGACGGGAACAGTCCTTTGTTTAATGATCAGTTATTGATAAAACGCGCTGATAATGTGCCGAGGAAGGTGACAAAAATATCCAGCAGACTGAACACATTCATTTATTGTGGGATACGCTACGTTCTCATTACATTATCCTGTCCTTTTGCTCTGTCCTTTCGCTTTATATTTATATTTTGTTCAAAATAGAGACGACCATGCGTATACAGAAATTAATATTGAATGGTAAGTCACTTTTGGTCATCCACGAAAAGGAAAACAGTATGCGCCGCGTTAACATTAATATTATCTTAACTTGTTAAGGAAAAACAAGTTTAAAAAAATGAACTGTAAATACATTTTTTCATCAATGTAGTTCTGAGTCGGTTGAAAAATTCTCGGCATAGGAAAAATCAGCCAGATATAGGCCTTACACGGTGGGAATAAATCACATAACAAGAAGCTGAAGGCCTATCATTCTCACTTAGCGGACTTCTTCATGATTCAATTCTAGCCGGCTACGCGTAGCGAGACTCCCACCCCTGAAAAAAAAAAGAGGGGAGGAAACGTCTGCGAAAAGGTGGTGGGCATCGATACAGATAGGCTAAATCCCGTTCACATGAATTAAAAGAAAAGGCTAGATAAATGACTAATAGCTATTAATCCGGAATTTTGGCTAAGTACATTGAAGTTTGAAATTAAAAAAGCAGAAACACAATTTAAAAAAACAGTTAGGTCCAAGCTAGAAAATGCTTTCTAATTCCTTGTTTTCCAAGCTAAAAAATGTAGGAAATGCTAAGTGTCGACCGACCATCGATGGAGTGTCGACCAATTACTGACCGATACATCAGTCAAGTATCGACCAACTATCGACCAACTATCAGCGAAGTGTCGGCAAAATGTCGGTGTAATGTCGGCGAAGTGTCGGCGAAAAGTCGGCGAAGTGTAGGTGAACGAAAAGCTATATCGGCCGAGACACATCTGGAACGACTATCGACCGTGTCTCGACCGAGTGTCGATCCACTATCAACCGACTATCGACCGACTATCGACCGCTATATCGACCGACTGTCGACCGAGCGTCGACCGAGTATCGACCGAGTGTCGACTGAGTATCGACCGACTGTCGACCGACTGTCGACCGACTATCGACCGAGTGTCGACCGCTATATCGACCGATATCTCGGTCGACATTACCCACAGTAAACAAGATCTGCTTTGTTTTGGTCTGCAATTAATATTTGACCTTTGTATATGTTGTAGTTAATTTTTTGTCTCAGTTAATTTTGTTTTCATACTAGTTAGTTTTCTCTAACTAGTTTATTATCCGCATAATTTAACTAGTTACATTTTTGGGGGGTGGTTAATTTTTGTTTGTGTAAGAAGTTATTTTTATAAAACCTGTTATTTTCTTTTTTAAGTAAATGATCAAGGGTTTTTTTGTTTGTTTGAGGAGGGTTATGATTAGTTTAGCTTTCTTTTAGGGTTAGGGTTAGCTATTTGTTTTGAGTAGGGTAAGGGTTAGCTTCCATTAACGGTTAGGGTTAACTACAAGTTTTGGGTAAGGTTAGGGTTTGCCTCTTCATAACAATTGAGTTTGTATTGAGTATCTCCATGGAATAATTCACATTATCATCACATTTACCATGATGAATAATGACTAGTTTCAAAAATTGGTTACAGTGCAAAATTAAGTCATTCTGTGTTGCTTATTTCTGCAGGAAATGCAAACGAATTTAAAAGAAACTTTTTTAGGTAAAGGGTTCACAAATTGGAAAACAAACCAAAACACTCACTTGGGTTTCGCGCTAGACGCCATTCCTCAAGCTAGATCCTCCGTTAGTCTGCTTGTTTTTTAAATAATCTAAAGTACAAGCACAAAAATTGACTTTTTACAAGAGTCCTTTAACAAATAACCATTACACTTTCCACAAATACCCAAACAGTGCTAACAGAAATATAAAAAAAGCAATAAAGGCCATTAAAATACTCACGTTTTACCAGCAACGCCGAACACCTTGGTATCACGTCTGTGAAAAACAACAACGCGCCAACTCTTGTCATGCGCATTGAACTTCAAATGGTTATTCTTTCTTCCAGTCGTGCTTGACGACGTCTGTTTTCCTCTATCTTAAACGCCCTATTCAGAGAGAACTTTGTGCAGCTTACTTTTTGGTGCAATGACCTTGTTATTTCTGGTAACAATTTCTTCACCCTTTAGAGTCCATCCTCTCCCTTTTATTATCATGTTCGACCAATTACACCAGATTATGGTGGTTGATTAGATGTTGATTTTCTGATTCCTGACCGCTTATGACAGCGGCATCGTCAGCGAACTAGAACCAGTGGATGGGATTTAAGAACTTGAGGGAAAAGCCAAATTGACGGTATTTTTCAGGTTTGATATGCTGTAAAAACGTGTTAAAACACAAGTTGAAGAGAAGTGGGCTTAGGCAATCACCTTGGAGTACACCACGACCAAGAGATGTAAATGGAGTGCGGAATTCATTTGTAAGAATAAAGGTTTTGAAGTCAGTGTAAAGACTTTTCACCAGTGATTTGATATGATCGGGAATGTGGTGGTAATCAAGAGTGGTTTGAATTAAGTAAGTTGTGATGAACTTCACCAAAGGCGTTTTTAAGGTCCAAAAGAGTAATGACGAGTGAACGCTGTTTGGTACAAGCTTTGTTAATGATATCAGCCATTTGAGCAGTGTGCTTAAAAGTTCCAGAAAGACCTGGTGTAAAGCCTTTTTGAATTTCCTGTTCAATGTAGTTGTTAGCGGAGAGGAAGTTGAAAATGGCGTTATGAAGACACGAGGTAAAAACCTTTAAAGGCACAGATTGTAAAGTAATAGGACGGAAGTTAGCAGGGTCATTAGGTTTTCCTTTTTATGGATGAGGATTGTGCAGGCTCACTTCCACTCGCTTGGGACAGATCCAGTTGACCAAGCTGTACCTATAATTTCAGATAAATAGGTTCGAAGAAAAGGACATTGTTTGAAACAAATTATTGACAGTTGATCTAGGGGAGAAGGAGAACCAGACGCCTTCATTTTTCTAATCACATTTGAAATCTGTTGGTATGTTGGAGGTTCTTCCAATTTGCCTTAATGTCCTAGACTATTTCAACCATAGGTCGAACCTTCCAACTTTTGAAATCAGTCTAAATGACTGCTTTCTCAAGAACGTTTCATTAGTTTTGTGAGTATCATGGAAAACGAAGGGATGATTTCATCTTTTTTGTTGAAGATCTTTTTGACATATCCCCAGAAATTTTTAGAGATGGAATAACCACGATTCATCAGGTCAGCATTGACTTGAAACGACGTGTTGTCTCGTAGTATGTCACGCAATAAGCGAGATACGTATTTGATTTCTGCGATGTCAGCGTTAGCAGACTGCTTCAAGACTTTGAAAAATTTCTTCAGATCATTTTTAGATTTGCCTTCGTATTTCCTTATCAGGCCTTCCTCAGGACCTTGTGCAACTTGACCAAAATTAGCAGAGAAATAGTCATAAACAGTGCCGTTCAGAAGTTTAACGCGTGAGCTGAGATTCTGAACAGTGATTGGAGGATTCAGAGATAATACGGATTTAAAATATTCGTTGGCCGTTAACCATTGTTCTTCAGATTTAGGTAGATTTATTCCCTTTTTAATATCGGGAAAGCGATGGTCTTCAGGTTGAGGGGAAGGGACACCGGAGGCCATCAAAGGATCACCTACATCGCCAGATTCTTGGTCTGTGAGTATGGCATCATTGAGGTCAGCACGAAGTTGATCATTCAAACCCAAAACAACTCTACAACTCCTTTGATGCATCTTCAATCCTCTGTTACCCTTGCAAAGTCTACCACAGCAGCACTTCACGAGACAAGCACGAGAAGCATCTGTAGCGACTGACTCATTCGCATCCTCATCCACTCCGGCAGAAGGACGCTCCGCTTGAGTGATTCTATGTTTACAGCGCCACGCATGGCGGCCCAGCAAGACAAAATTGTTACCGCAGAACGAACAGACCACATCAGTGAGCAAAACAAACAAAAACCGCAAACAAACCATGCCCTCCGACAACCAAAAGCAGCTCCCCACTGACTAATCCAAAGAAGATTTCAATCCAAGCACAAAAGGACGTTTAAACTGAGGACATGCACAAAACGTGTCCGTTCTGCTCAATGTCCTAATAATAATAATAACAATAATACTGGTACACAAAATGCAGTTAATAATAAAAACAATGAAATTTTTCTTTGTATGACTGATAACTTTTCATTATTCAGTTTATCATACCTACCAGTTTTTTTATACTTGCTGATGCATTGGTTAGAACATCAGTGATCGTCAGCAATCTTCTAAGCTGAAGAAGAATGTTTTGAAGGGCCTGCTTCTCCATCGTGACTGACTTCATGTCTGTCTTGCATTTGTCCAAGACCTCAAGCTCAATTATGTACGATGTCGTTAAATCCATAAGGTAGTAACAAAGATTCTTTGCCTTGAATCAAGGGAAGTCACATTGACCATCGCCTGCGACAACAAGCTCCTGATCGTTCAACTCCTCAAACATTTTTTCCTGTTGCCACTTCCACCATTCCGTTACAGCAGGAATCACATACAGCCTCTGCACCCTAAAGAAGGTGGACTTTGAAGTGAAAGAGACCCAGGAACTTAGCCATCTTAGCTACTTTGATGAAACTGCAAGCGGTCAACAATATGGCAGCAGAGGTCTGGAGGTTATAGACAAGAAAACCATTAACTTTTCTAGACAACCAAAACCTGCCTTTATGCCCAAGAGGGCATGTCCATTTTACTAACACACTGGTGCCAAAAAGAGTGTGATCAACCCTGGTTTGCTGCTGGCACCCAGGATGTTGGCATTTGTCTGCAAACACCTGCATTAGGAGGTCGAGAGCACATAAAACCTTAGTGCCTTGTACCAGGTTTATTTCATCTGGATGTTCCTTGTTGTCTTCCCAGCGACTTAATATATTTTCTCGAGGAGGACTAACCACACATGGTATGGCTGGTACAGCTGTGGGCACTGGTCTTTCTTCTTGAGCCTGCACCACTAGGTCCTCGGTCTGAGTGGATACTGAGACTACTACAGGCTCTTTTGATGGCTGCTTGCCAATGTCATCATCATTACTTTGTTCATCAAACACCCCAGATATTTCAAATTCAGTGGCAGCATTCTCTTCCTGTGTCATGTCCATATCACATTCACTATCACTCTCCCCACTATAAGCGGAAACAATGAAAACCAGTTAAAACCTTTCTTTATTAAATTTGATAAATTGTATTGTTTATCACTGTCCACTATCCAAGAAACAAAATTCTCCAATCACGCAAACCCTTACAACTCAAGGTAGATTGTGGAAACTGTTTAAACTAATTCATGGCTGAGTTTTATATCCTTCACATAATGAATTTATCTTAGAGAAACAGTGAAAAACGCTGAGTAATGCTAACTCAAAATAATGAGTAAATCGTTGCATCCATAGTGACCCATTATAGTGAGTTAACTCTAGCAGAAATATTGAGTTACTATTACTCGTTGGTAAGAGTAACGTTACTCAGAAAGAGAGTATAACTTAACTCAGAATGAGTAAAGTGGACTCGCAAGTGTGAATTAAAATACTCAGTTGCTGTGTAGAACTAACTCAAAAGTATGGGTAAAATTACTCAAGACAAATGCATCCATGGTGACTCTTTATTTTGAGTAAAATGTTCAATTACTCGTAATTTGAGTAAAATTTACTCCAAATTTTGAGTTAAGTTAAAGTTACTCTGACAACGAGTTAAAATATTACTCAAGGAACTGATTAAAATAGACGGCTATAATTACGCTCTATTTTGAGTGACAGAAAACTTAGTTTAAACAATTTGAACCGCACAATCTTCTACAATAATGGTGTAAATCATCAGTGGTAGGAGGATGCATGCTTTTTTGTAACTCAATATTTACTGTACTGCATCAGTTATGAAACAAACATTAGACAATAAATACTGCAAACTGCAGAAATTCAAGAAAATCAATCTTTGCTTTACTGGACCACTTAATTTTGAAGATAGCTATACTGCATTAACAGTTCATGTTACAAAGTGCACAGTCTTAACCATTGCATACTGGAAAATACTCTCCGACACTGATGTGAAAACCAATCATTCCATACGGGTTCCACTATATTGAATAGCCATTTTAGTGGAAAAAAAGAAATGTATTTGCTTAAAAAAAGTGATGCTTAACAGAAATCAATCAGTTTTACAACTTAATCATGGTATTTTGAACTTCTTATTTGCAAAGAAAAGGAAGATGCAACTGGTTGACGCTATAACAGTTTGGTTTTCCTAATCACTGTCTGCTGGATGAAATATTAAGTTACAGAAAAGTCAAAGGGAGGTATACCCATTGTTCCCTAAGAGTGGCGTGGCACTAACTGGAGTAAATACTGTATGTAATGGTAAAGACCTACTCAGAATTGTATTAAAGTATTGATATTACTCAACATTCAGGATCCTCTTTGTGCTAGTTTATGTAAGAACCTGTTGAGGGTGGGAAAATGCAGGTTCTTAATCGGCGGGTTTTACTATATTCACCTGTAATTCGTGAAGGGAATTTACAAAGACATTAGGGAAGAGGAAAGCTTTTTGCCATCAGAAATGTGCAATATGCATTTTTGAATAAAGGAATAAAACTTTGCCAGTCCAGGAGGATAATTATACATAAATACACAAGAAGTGGCCAGAAGTGCAAGAGCTGCTTCAACCAGTGAAACTTCAAAGCTGCAGATTATTTGTTTGTCTGCAGCAATGTAAATTTTTCCTGGCAATGCCAGAGTTCCTATAAAAATCAAAAACGGGAATAAATTGTCCTTGCCCTCAGCAATACTTCCTGGATTTGTCTCTTCCTGTAAAAAAAAAAGAAGACATTTAAGCACTTTAAAATATTTTTTATAACTAGCTTGAAGGTGTTCGTTATGTCAAATCAAAGACAATAATATAATAATCCTGGCAAGAGCAAATTGCAGACCAACAACATAAGCCTAGTGAATAAATGATATGTATATTATTATCTGCTGAAATATAGCTGGTCGCTATTTTTAATATCAAATGACAATTGCCATGGCACTGTGTCAAGACCTAGCGTTACAAGAAGCTTACCCTTCTCTGGTATACTAGATTAGTGGCCACAAGGACCAAGGACTAAAAAACGAAAAAATTCAGAAACACACACATGTACATGTACTTACCACACACTCTTCTCTTTAATTGGTAAGGCAAGCAATTGACAGATACACTCAACATGGAGTTCACCCCCATAGTGTGTCTTTTTGTCCAATTTTAGTCCTGATTGCCATACCCAGAGTAAGTTAAGGGCCTGTTTACATGGAGGTGGGGGCCCCACAGGTGAGGTAACATGTGGCAGGTCACCCCATCTGTTATGTAAACTTGATCAAATTAAAATCAGACATTATATGTACAGGGCGTTAACCAACTAAGCAGGTTGCCTCACCTACCAGGAGTCCCCCACCTCCACTTAAACAGGCTCTAAGTCAGAAATATTAGAACTTTTTAACCCTATATTATTTTTTTAAGGAGCGATCACAAGACTGTAAAGTGAGCTAGGACACTTGTTTTCAAAACATAAAAAATAATAACAACTATCCTTTTTTGAAGAACTTGTATAAAAAATTTATAAAACTTACTAAGACAAATTGCACAAATTCTTTATGTTTGCAAGCGCCAGCCTTTGTCTGTAGTAACAAAGGCAACACTGCCACTGCAACCTCTGCTTGTTCACCTAAAGTAAGATTTTTTTAAACAGCATAAAGGTAAATGTCTTGTCTTTTTAAGCTGCATGTATGCACCCCATAAATGATATAATAAAAACTCGATCATTAGCAGATTGAAGATGCTATAGCCTCATGTCTATAAATAATTACAGTGAAACTGGAATTAAACGGACACCCTCGGGGAAAGCTGTAGTGTCTGCTTAATACAGGGCGTCCGCCTAATACAAGTTTCGATATATAACGTCATATGAGTATGGTGGCCGAGGACTGCCACTCAGTTTTCAGGGCATTAATTCCTTTTTAAGCAACTAAAAATGCAAAACATAATGAACATCTAATGAAAATCAAACATCAACGCAATTTAATGTAAAACAAAAAGCTCGATTCAAATTACCTGAGATTTGAATTAAGTGTATTTTAAAGAAGAATGCATACAGAATCTAACTTTACATTAAAGTCAATTAAAACTGAACAAATCATAACACGAGGAGGTGAGTTAAAATGAAGTAAAATTGAAAATCAAATACAAATGCAAATCAAAATTGAATACATTGTAAAACGAGAATGCACTACGGAATCTAAGTTGGAGTTAAAGTGGATTACAATTGAATTCAACTTGAAAAGAGAATGCGAAACAAAGCTAGTGGCAGCGCTCGGCCATGAGAAAATCTACTTTACTTTGAAAGTAAATTCAAATTCTTCGCGTGGCCGAGCCCTGCCACTGCCAAACCAGCGCCCAGGCCTCCCAGCTAAATTACTCCCATAAACCCATGCGCGTGTAATTTGTTGCAGCAGTTCTTGTCAAGATGGGAGAGTGGCGGAGGTATGCGGCAATGCAAAAGGCAAAGAGAAAAGGCAAGAAAGCAGGAGAGGAGAGCGCAGTTTCTGAAGAGATTGTTGTACAGCGCATGAGTTCGGACGTTTCTGGAAAACAGCAAAAATATACGAGAATTGGGCCCCAGAGTACGTGCCCTTTGAGCACGAAGAGTTGAGTATAGCGAACATCAAGGACGCCTGTATGAAATACTTCAGGCCTCAGATCGAGAAAGATTTTATTTGCGACGTGCTGGCTGGCGAGCGCGGGCCATCTTGCGAAATGATGGCCCACATTCCAAACAGAAAAGTTTTTTATGTGCGATTCATAAAACCCAAAGGAGAGGTTCTTTCTGACGAGGAAGGATCGCCGCGGTGCAAAAAGGTGAGAAATCACGAGGATAAGATTTTCGCACATTTATTATTATGCATGCAGATATCTCATACTACAGTGAAACCTCTATTAAGCAGAGCCCCAATTAAGTGGACACCCTCTATTGAGCGGACACCAAGCCGGGTCCCTAAGTGAACGTCGGATAATTTCCCTTTATAACGAACCCCTATTCAGCGGACACCGGCTCTATTTAGCGGACGCACACACTAAAATAAGTTGTATTGGGCTAATTTCTATTGTTAAAAACCTTTTTAAGCGCACACCGGACTGAACTGACAATAGTAGAGTTGGATTACGTCCTTGAAATACGTACTGAAGTCAGTTAATGTCTTTGCATTTACAAACAAATTAAAGTTGGTAACTGAAAGGTAATGAACTTGAACTCTGGATAGCTTCTGGAAATTTGTCACTGTACAGAGTAACCATTGAATGTTGATCGCTAACAAACATTGTGCAATTTTTACAACCTCTAGTAAGCGGACACTTGGGAAGGTCCCGGAGGTGTCCGCTTAATAAAGGGTTTCACTGTATTTCACACAAATATTATATGTGAATAGAGTAGAAACATGTATGCATAATTCATATATGGGGCTGTACGGAAACCTTAGTTACCATCATGAGTATTATTTGGTTTATTTTCTCTTTGAATTTTCAAATTCTAGGGTTTAGTGTTATGCTCTCAAGACTTTCTAGATATTTTACATTTTCGGTTAAGTACATTAACCAAATGTAAGACCTCAGGCTTGGGATCCCATAGAAAGGCAGCACATAAGTTTAAATGAACTAGGAGAAGTTGAGTGATGTGCCTTTAGAGTTGTTAACGTTAGCTCCAATATTTCTTGACGTTTTTCAGTGTCACTTGCATGCATCATTCGCAGTGGGTGTATGTCACCCAGTTAACCCAATTTCGGTCTTCCAAAACGTGCCACTTTCCATACCCGGTTTCAGACCTGGCTTGTGAATGTTGTACCCAATTTGTGAACCCAGCACATTGTCCAAGTGAACCCACCATACTGTTTTTGAAAGCTTTTTTTTTTTCATTAGTTAGTCGTATTTGACACTAAATGTTCTTATCCATTTGGAGCTGACAAAACAAAATAATACGTCCAAACATTCTCTTGGGTAAAATTCTCTAGAAAATGATACCTTATTTCAGACCATAATGGGGATAAGTTTGCTTCAGATGATTTCTAGCTTACAGGCTAATGTTTGGCACAGTGTCTTCATTTTGTCTAAATTTGATCTGACTTCTGTACTGTCTTGTAGCCAGTCCGTCTTTGTACTCTATGGGTATTCTTTTGATACATGTATGGCTACAAATTCTTCCCCTTGTAATCTTTGTTATACATAAGTAGTTTTGTTTTTAATTTTTGGATCTGATCCACAGCCAAAGAAAGCACGACCATCCAAGAGGACAAATACACAATCCCTGCCAGCCACCAAAGCCCAAAGCCCAAGTAAAGCCTTCCCAAAGAGTCTGTCAGCGTTAGAAATGATGAAACTTGGTAAAGTTATCAATGAAAAGTCCACTGTAGGAATTGAGCTATTCAAGTTTGATCTCACTGACATGGTTTGGTCCAACCTCCCTTTGACCATAGAATTCAACATTGCCAAAGAGCCTTTTGGCAAAGGAGGATTTCGTGAAGCAATTAAGGCCACAAGTAAAATGCCAGAATTTCACGGTCATCAGTGGGTAGTAAAAAGGTATTTAGTATCCGCTGTTGACAATATCAAACAAACAAAACAAACAGTTGAGCAGCACACAAAAAAGGTGGTGCAAATGCACATGCTGGCCAGGAATTTTGCTCAAAAACTGGAGCAGGAATTAAAACAAGCTGGTAACCTGGAAGTTTATGGGCCAACCCTCAGTTACAAGAGAATATACATGGGAAGAATCCATGGAGAGTCAGATGATGATTGGGTTACTGTTGAAGAATATATTGACGGGGAATTTACAAAGTACCTAAACAACACAAGAAAATCTTGTGGCATAGACTGACATTCGAAAGAAATGTGAAAGTCTAGCTCACTTTTCTTATGAGCGTTCAAGTAGAAATCTTATGGTCGTAGATATGCAGGGCGGTGGACACACTTTGTTTGATCCTGAAAACGCCTCTAAGGAATTGGTACAGGGTGAAGAGTTCTTGTTTTCCACAGGCAATTTGTCAGCTACGGCAATCAACTGTTTTATTGAGCATCATACTGATTGCAATTTGT